CGTGGCGCGGCGGCCCCCGCCGACCCCCGTGCGAGTCGGGGGCTCCCTGCCACAGGGATCCAGACATGAGGAAGAACAAAGTCTGGCTGAAAGAAAAAAATGGCGTTCTCTCTTTTTTTAAAAAGGTACAGGGTTGGGCAGGATTCAAAACTTGTAAAGATGAGAAAAACTGAGAAGAATTAACTATTTTTGTTGGGTTTTGTGGAACAAGGAGTGAGAGAACGGAGCTCCATCTGCCACTGAGAACAGTAGAAAAGGAACTGAGGGGACTGCGCTGCACACACGCCTAACAGACACCAACAGCACAAGGGGCAGGGGCACGTGCACGGCGGGACATTGCTAGAAAAATCTTTGGTCGCCAGTGCAATGATGCACCAGCACCCAGAGTGGAGAACCCAGAGGGACATCATTCAAAGAAGAATCTCTCTGTCTCTGGAAGCTTTTAAGAACAAGTTAGAAAAAAAGCTATTGGGATGATCTACATAATACTTAGTCTTGCCTCAGTATAAGGGACTGGACTTCTAGATGACCAATAAATCCCCTGTCAGCCCTACATTTCTATGGTTAACAACTGCAAGAAAAAGAAAAATACCTTTGTTTCTGTTCAATAGTCATAACAAATTTAGCATCTTTTGCAATAACTGAAGCAGCCTGCTGTACTCCTTTCCTTGTGGCACAAAACTATAAAAAAGAAAATACCTTTATGTGTTAATTGTACTATGAAAAGCCCCAAGAATTTCAAAAGGATTAAGAAAAAAACATATTATACCACAAGTGTTGGTTTTTGTTCAGAGTATGTTTGTATAACACTAGCTATTTTATAGTTAAGAGTTAAGTCAAATTTGAAATCAGTTTGGTGGGAAATCCAAGAACTATTTTGCGAAGCTTCACAGGTCGATGACTTTCATCTATTTTCAGACATACAGCAGGCCTCTTACCATCTGAAAGCCATTCTGCAATCTTTAAAGAACAAAGAAACATGTTAAAATTATGCGTGAAAATAATGCCTCTATTATTATACATGTTCTCTTCAAGCTACAACACATACATAATCATAAACTGGGAAAGCAACTATCTTTACTGCCCTATTTGCCCTAAAACACTGACAAAGAGTGTTTTCATGTTAAGTTCCTTTTGCCACGCCTAAACTAATACAATTGAAAATAATGTCTTCACTAATGAGAAGACCAAATTCGGTTCTAAATTACATCAGTACTATTGAAATCAAAATCTGTCCCCAGACTTTTCTGACTTGTGTTTGAATCCTAAAATTTTGATTAAAAATATAAAACCGCGGCACTTTATCAATTAGTGGTTGATATTTCAATATTGTCTGGACCAAAAGTTGTACCTGTGTTTATCAAGACAACAGCCAAATAGAGCTGACAGCCCAGAAATTACAACTTTATTTTAAACTCATGTCAGGTAGATTTCATAGTTTTACATCACTTTTCTATAAGTTTCCCAAATAGAGTTTCTCAAATGAAATAAATAGTCCAAAAAACCTCAGCTTTTACAAATTATCTCAAAGAAACAAATTTTTTTTTAAAGTAATTAAATTCTTACATCCTCAGCATTTGGGATTGTTGCAGAAACAGCTCCAAATCTCATGGGAGGAAGTGGGTCAGGATTTTCTGAGATACGTGAAAGGGACGACTTTACAGTCTTCATCCGACTGACTACAACCTCAAGTGTTGCACCACGGCTTTCATCTTTCACAGCATGCACCTATTAAAATAATTAAAAGCATCTGTGTCACAAGACTGCTTATTTTTTTACATTCTAACCTGCAAATAAGTTATTTGTTATACATTGTTATACTTTCTAAGTTATCTTTTTATCTTCAAGTACCCTACCTCATCAATGAGGAACAGTCGTACCAGTTGGACTAAAGAGTTATCTCTCCATTTTCTAGTCATGCTATCCCATTTTTCCTGGAGGAAGTGGGAGAAGGGAGGCAGAAGATATGATGAATAACAGATTCCAGAAGTAGTAACATAGACAGACCTTAAAACATAACCAAATTGTTATGATAAAAAAGTCAGTAAAGTTCTTATGAACTAATGCTACATATTTTGTATTTTACACATTATTTTAATACTAATTATTGTTTATATAGTGCTAAAAGTATGTGTGTCACATTACAGACAAGACCTTAAAATTATCTTGACGATTTCTAGTCTCTTCCCCCTTCAAAAACAAGGGGAAGCCCTGGAAGCATAGCTAGTACACTACTTGCAGCTAACAATTTCTATATCTTTCATTACATTTGTTGATTTAGAAAAAAATCAGTAAAATAAATAGCAAGTTATATATGAAACCTACTGGCGTGGTCAAAATAATATGTGCATGTTGTATTTCAAATAAATCATCCATCACTGTATCTCCTGTCAGCTCTTTACAGCTGAGCCCTATACGTCCAAATTTATCTTTCCAATCATCAAAACGCTGACTGCACAGAGCTTTTATTGGAGCCACTAAAAATACAAAATTGAGGGATTACACTGAGAAAAGTAAAGGATTTTAAAAGAAAATGTCAACAGTATCGCTTACGCTGATGAATGCATGAGTTTTGGAAAAAACTGAGCAAAGCTAAAACCAGAATAACTTAATTAAAATGTACTGAATTAACAACTGCATTAATTCCTTCTGTCTAGACCAGTTCTGATATCTGCCCGCGAAGAGAGACAAAAGACTTGAAGGTCCCTCAGAACACATCTCTCTAAAACAGGAGCGAGCAAAAATGTTTGAAGTAGCCCTGGGCCATTCCGGAAGGGGCGGGGCTTAAACAGGAAGGGGGCAAGGCTACCCCACCCCAGACCATGATTGGCCTGCAGGTGAGGGAACCCCTTTGCTCCCCCTTCCCACTAGGCACCTATGCCCTGGAAGAGGCTTGGCACGCTTCTCCACCCCCAGGCCAATCAGGGCCTGGGGGCAGGTGAGCACGGGGAAACCTCCAGCCGCCCTGCGAGGAGCACGTGGCACTTTGAAGTGCCGTGGACTCCTCGCAGGACTGGGGCAAGGCGAAGGAAGCTTCACGCAGCTCCCCTGCCCACAGGCCCTGATTGGCCTGTAGACAGGGGAGCGTGCGAAGCTGCCTCCGCTGTCCCCCACACCCTGCAAGCAGCACACAGGGCTTCAAAGTGCCACATGCTCTTGCCAGAGTGAGAGGAGGTTTCACATGCTCCCCCACCCCCAGGCCAAATATGGCGTTGCGTCGGGGGAGCAGCAGGGCCTCCGTGGACTGGATCCACCTGCTTGGCGGGCCGGATCTGGCCCGTGGAGGCCCTTTTGCCCACCTCTGCTCTAAATCATAATGTCCAATGCCCTCTCATGATCTTTGGTTGTTTTCTGACTCCCACAGGAGAACAAATGCCCAGCTGACAGAGCCAGACTCTAACACAAACACAAGAAAACACAGAAAAAGCACTCCTAGCAGCCACATAATAGATAAATATACAAAGGCCAACCTCATGTCCAATTAGAGCTTGATTTTTCTGGGGCACTCTAATACACACAAAAGTAGAAAAAGTCTTTGTAATACAAAACATGATTCACAAACTGCAAAAAAGCAAACACAACAGTATACGTCAACTAGCAAAGTAGGGAAGGAGACACAACAAGTATCAGGAGTAAAACTGTTCACATAAATCAATTCCCTGATTCGGTGATCAGCATGTCAGTAGTCTGCAATGCTAGGAAACCACTATCAGAATTCTGATTAAGCCACAAGCAAACAAATTCAGGAAAATCTTGGGTTAACAGTAACAAATTTCCTACCTATGTGGAAAATGGAGGCCGAAGAGCCATGAATGAGTCCCTGGTCCTCAGCCATCCAGACCCAGATACATCCTCAGTTAAAATGGAGGGGAACAACTACCTCACAGATCTTATGAGCCTGACATGTCCACTCTCTTCTCATGCCATGACACAGAAGGCAGCAGAACGTAAGAAAATAAGAACATAAGAATGACCATACTGAGTCAGACCAAAGGTCCATCCAGCCCAGTATCCTGTCTGCTGACAGTGGTCAATGTCAGGTGCCCCAGAGGGAGTGAACTGAACAGGTAATTATCAAGCCATCTCTCTCCTGTCATCCATCTCCACCATCTGACAAACAGAGGCTAGGGACACCGTTATTTACCCATCCTGGCTAACAGACATTAATAGACTTAACCTCCTTATCTAGTTTCTTTTAAACCCTGCTATAGTCCTATCCTTCACAGTCTCCTCAGGCAAGGAGTTCCACAGGTTGACTGTGCGCTATGTGAAGAACTTCCTTTTGTTTGTTTTAAACCTGCTGCCCATTAATTTCATTTGAACTATCTCCAACAGCAAAGAACTCGCTCCTCCACATGTTGTTTCCAAGCAGTTTAAGTCCACTTCGCACTGATTGTGACAGATAAAGGTCCTTTGATAAAGAACAGTACAGTATCATAATTCTTAACCTCAATTGCTCTATCTCCATCTACTGTCAGTGAGAAACTTTAATGCACACACCTATAAAGTACTAAATTTGTGGTATACAGTGTTGTTGCAACCTTGTCAGTCCCAGTATATTAGAGAAAGAAGGTGTTGAGACAGTATCTTTTATTGGATCAACCTGTGTTGGTGACAGAGACAAACTTATACAGAGTTCTTAAACCTGAAAAAGAGTTCTGTATAAGTTGGAAAGCTTGTCTCTCTCACCAACACAAGTTGGTCCAATAACATTTATTACCTCACCCAACTAAGCTAGTATCCTTACTAAATGCAAAGCTAACGATCTGAGGTAAGACTACCAAATATGCTGAATTTGCCGAAATTGTGTGTGGTTTGAAAATGTGGACAAATCAAGGATAGGAAAAAAAATCACCAATTTCATTTAAGCAAAATGAAGATACACATCCCTTTCTTCAAAAAGAAAAAGAGGCTGACAGACATAGAGATGTCACAACATTCAAATATACAAATTAGATTTTATTTTCATTATAATTAAATCAACACAAATAACTCTTAGCCTTTCCTGCTTTGTCCTGTAGATTAGATAAGTAATGGGCATCAATTAGTTGCCACCACATATTTAAGTTCAGGTTTATTAAAGGCAAGAAATAACTGTACGTAACAAAATTTAGAAGTTGAAATAATTTTCTATCATTTCTACTAATAATTAACTGTTTAAAGTTACCATAATACTCACTATAGACAGTTTTAATATTTAGCCAAGGCATCGGCACTTCCATTAGTAACCTAGTAATAGCTAGTTCGAACATTACAGTTTTTCCAGAACCAGTCGGAGCACAAATCACAAAATTCCTATCAGTGTAAAGAATCTACAAAAGAATTAGAAATCAATAAATACATTGAAACTATTCAAATGTATCCATTCATACATTGTGACAGAATTGTGGAGGTAAGAAATACTCATGAGGAATTATTAATTCATATATGTACCAGTGAATGACTTCTGTTAAGATAGAATGTGGTTTTTCTAATGGTGAGATACACTGCATAAGATGAGAAATTTAACTTTAAATAATGGCAAAAGAATAAAGAATGTGTTCTTTCATTCCTATCTCTCATTAAAATATTTATTTAAAAAATACCATATATCCATAACTATTATGCAGTGATGCACTGTCATCACAAACACAGAAATGGCAGTCTCTAAACTCACATGACAGCTGTACAAACAGACCACTGTTAATATCCAAGTATTAGCAAAGAGAAACTCATTATAAAAGTGTATTAATTTTGCTGTTACAAAAATCTCAAAAATATTCCTGTAGTTGCCTTTTTATAATTTCTGTAAATATTAATGCCAATATAGTAAAAACATAACAAACACAATTATGTGTTTTAAGCCATTTTTATGGAGAAAAATATATTAAAAGAAAATAAGTCAAAATAGTTTGTTATTTATATAAATATATACATATATTCATTTAAATATTAAAAGAAAGTTTCTCAGCAGACTCATTAACTTTACTTGAATCAAGGAAAACAGTTACCTTTCTGCTGTTGAAAGTGAATGTTGGAAAAGATGCTTGCTATTTTTACACTCAGCTGGGAGTTGCACACTTTGTTGCTTCCGTAGACCTCACTCATTACATTCACCATCCCCTTCTATTTTAGGGATTCACTGAACCTCTCTGCAACCTCTTTCTTGCAACAGCCTCTTGTGTTCCATTGATTCTCTTCCCTGACAGAGGAGATGCATGCCCTGCATTCCCCAACATTCTCCTCCCACAAGGGATTCTGTGTGCACCCCCTATCTCTCATCCCAGGGGGCTCTGTGTATGACTCCCATTCCACGGACCCTCATTTTACCCCACTCTCCATGGCAGAGTTTCTGCATATACTATCATTCCATCATTTCTTCCATGCCTCCCCATTTCCCTTCCTCCCATCATTCTTATTCTCATCTTTCTCTTTGGGGGAGAGGGGGAGGTCGACATTTTAAAAGCGTATTAGGAGAATAGGCAAAATAAAAACGAGAGAAGCTGCCATCAACCAATTCTTTGAGTTAGGGTATGTCTACACTTGCAGCCTATTTCAGAACAGGGCTGCAAATGTAGGCATTCGGAATTGCAAATCAATCCCAGGATTTAAATATCCCACGCTTGATTTGCATCTTTCCGGCCGGGCACCATTTTTTAAATTTACAAGCCCGGAATAACTGCCCGCGTCTACATACGGCAGTGAAACAGGCGTTCGAAATAAAGCCCTATTTCCAACTACATGTTAAACCTCATTGCAAGAGGTATAACAGTCTGAAATAGGGCTTTATTTCGACTGCCCGTTTCACTGCCGCGTGTAGATGCGGGCAGTTATTCTGGGCTTGTAAATTTAAAAAAAAAAAAAAAAAAGGCGCCAGGCTGGGAAGATGCAAATCAAGCACGGGATATTTAAATGCCGGGCTTGATTTGCAATTCCAAATGCCTACATTTGCAGCCCTATTCCGAAATAGGCTGCAAGTGTAGACATACCCTTACAGATAATTAGAGAGATTGAAGATGGTGATAGCTAATCAAAATATGCTAATCAGAGCTTAGGAACATTGTGTTTTCTGCTTAGAGTTATCTGATTGTCACTAACACTAAGCCCATGGATGCCCTGAAAATTTAGAACTGATCAGCTAAAATGGCTAGAAATTTGAGCAGATTGAGCATAAGGCTTCACAAACTTGGCCAGCTGACAAAAACAAACAACTATATTTTCTGGGGGAACACAATATTTCTACAATATACAGATAATTGCAATTATGATTATTATGAATATAGGAGGCTAAAATAACTATATTATTTTATAATTAAGTCCTTTCATGATTAAAAGTACTAAGTCAAATTCATGAACTACTTAAATCATAAAGAGAGGTTATTTTCCTTATACAGTAATTGAGGTTCTTCAAGATATGCAACTCTGTGAGTGCTCCACTTCAGGTCTCAGTGCATCCCAAAACTGTTGATCAGAAATTTTAGGTAGCAATACTTGGTCAGGACACACATGCGTAGAAGCTGTCTCGCAAACCATTGGAGTCCCATCTAGCACACACATGGTCTGACCCCTTCAATTATTTTTCTACTACAGACTCCTTGTATTAAACTCCAAAGCAGAGGAGAGGAGAGTGGGGAGTGGAGCACCAACAGTGGGACACATCTAAAAGAACCTCAGTTACTGCACATGGTGAGTAACTCTGTCTTTTTCAAGTGCTGCCCCTGTGGATGTATCACTTCAGGTAATTGTAGAGCAGTGCCCCAGATGGTTTAGGGAGGACTTTAAAGTAACATGCATAAAGGAGAAAAGGACTATTAGGCTTAGTATGGCATCAGCTTGTGAGTCTTGTGTAATTGTATAGTGTTTAAAGACAAGGGAGTTACCTCATGCAGTAACAACTGTTCTTTGAGATGTGTGTCCCCATGGGTATTCCACTGTTGGTGATGAGTTGTCCCGGAGCTGCAGATTAGAGCCTTGCAAAGCAGTTTTCAGCTGGGCCTTAGTCCAAAGCAGTTTTCAGTCATTTGTGCCTTAGTGCCTTGCATGCCCAGCCTAACCACCCTTTCTGTTCCTCGTCTAAGCCTGAGTAGCCAAGACTCCAAATAGAGGGGATGAGGGAGGGCCATGGAGCACCCATGGGGACAAACATCATGAAGAACAGTCGTTACAGCAGGAGGTGAGTAATTCCCTTTTCTTCTTCAAGCGATTTCCCTGTGGGTGTTCCACTATTGGCTTGTGTCTAGACTACAGGGTTTTGTCGACAAAAGTGGACTTTTGTCGACAAAACTATACCTGCTTCTACACTGCCGCTGAGTTCTGTCAACATAATATCGACAGAACTCAGCAGTTTTGTCGACGGCCGTCAACCTCATTCTATGAGGAATAACACCTTTTGTCGACAGAGTTCTGTCGACAGAAGGCGTTATTTCATCTACACTGTCCTTTGCGTCTACACTGTCATGTCGACAAAGCGGCTTGCTTTGTCGACAGAACTGGATGTAGTCTAGACGCTCTTTGTTGACAGAAGCTTTGTCAACAGTATCTGTCAACAAAACCCTGTAGTCTAGATGTACCTTTGGTGACTACAGAGCAGTATTCAATCTGGATGGTGGGATTCTGAGTTACGCTTGGCGGCCAAAGATAAGACTGCTGCAGCCACCACTGAGTCCTCTGTCAATTGAGGCAAGATGGCATAATGCCTGGCAGAAGTGTGGTCAGATGACCAGGTGGCAGCCCAGGAGATGTCCTTGAGGATAACATTGTTCAGAAAGGCTGTAGAAGCCACAGTAGCATGGCTGGAATGTGCTTGCTTCAGAGTCAATAAGGGTGTGTTTCGAATGGCATGGTATTTGACTATGCAGGAGAATATCCATTTAGAAATGCACTGGGCTAGATTGGTGTGCCCTTATAGCATTCAGTGATCGACATGAAGAGGTACTGGGACCTGCAGAAGACTCATGTCCTATCTATGAAAAAGGCAAGTGCACACCAGATATCTCAAGTGTGGAGCATTACATCATGTGGGGATGCATGAGGCTTGGGTAGAATGTAGATAATACAATGGGTTCACAGATGTGGAACAAGATACAGATCTTTGGTAGGAAAGCTGGGTGAGGGCATAAAGTGACTCTGTCCTTTGCGAAAACTGTAGGGAGGATCTGCCATAATGGCCCCAATCTCTCTGACTCTTCTAACAGAGGAGATGGCAACGAGAAATGAGATCTTTATGAAGAGGAAGGGAAGTGGGTTCAAAGGGGGGATGCATCAAACAGTCTAAAATGAGATTTAAATCCCATGAGAGTGGTGGGGTCCTATGGGGAGGCTTTGAAGACCCTAAGGAATCTTCTTGTGATCAGATATGTGAACACCAAGAGTCCATCAATTGGATTACGAAAGGTTATCGCTGACAAATGAAATGAAATAGCCAACCCTGCCCCCTCGAGTTCCAAGGTATAGTCAAGGATGTTATGATGAAGGGAAGTGTTAGGATCAATCTGTGCTTGTTGACTCCAAGAAGAAAAACACCTCCATTTATGCAGTAAGTTATACTTGTGGAAAGTCTTTTGCTATGGAGGAGAACGTCCTTCACCTGGCTGGAGCAGCAGGACACCGATTCTCGGAACCAGCTAGGAGCCATGCACTGAGATGAAGGGTATGAGGTTGTGGGTGTGATTCTGGGAGAGAAAACCATAGTGGCTTGGTAGCAGATACGGAGGCTGGACGGACATTCTATGCAGATATGGGAACCAAGTCTGCCTGGACCAGGAGGGAGCTATCAGGATGACAAATGCACCATGACACATGCATGACGTTTCACAAGGCATAAAGGATCTGCTGACAAAGGGTTCTGGGGTCGGCAGATCCCCATCTAGACTGCCGCGGGGCGCCGACAAACAGCTGATCGGCACAGTGCGGTGGCCATTTTGATTTAAATGAAGCGGCGATTATTTAAATCGCCACTTCATTTCCCTTTGTCGTCCTGCCTATAGTACGCTTCCTATAGATAAAGGGCTGGAATCTACATGGTTCCATCGACGGAGCCATATAGTCTAGACACACCCATAGGGAATGAGAACATGCACTCCCTTGTCTGTTTATATAAAACATCATTGTGATGTTGTCCAGGAGTGTTTGCACTATGCAGCCGGTGATTTGGGGTGCGAAATATATGCAGGCGTTCCTTACGGCTCTGAGCTCCAGAAGATTGATGTGTAATGAGGTCTCATGTGGCACCCACCTGCCTTGAGTGACTTGATTCTAGAGATGGGCGCACCATCCCAGTAAGGAAGCATCTGCTGCAATCTGCACTAAAGGCTGTGGCTAATGAAAGGGGACC